TTCCAATGAAGGGAGCGTATTTGCCATGCTTGACGGCAGTGTCAACCGTTCGTTCGCACTATTTAAATGGGGGTCGCATTTGTGATTTTGGAAAGGGGGTCGCATTTCGGCCGTTAAGGGGGGGGTCGTGTTTGGGCAGTTTTTTTTGACAATTTGGTGGAAGGTCTACATGGAGGGAGGGGTCGTTTTTGCGGAGCCTCCTAAGTCTCATGGCGGTGCTGGGGATCGCACCGAGACCTCCGAAAGAGAGGAGTCGCACAATTTTTGAAGAAGTGCGAACGCAACGGTTGACCCTGCTTGACGGGGGTCGCGTTTGGAGAGATGGGTAGTGCATTTTTGAAAAGATGGAGACGTGACAAGCGATATGGAAAGAAATGTTTCTGGAAAAGGGCTGTTTTTAAGGTTTGGAAAATTCCGTAATTTCAGCTAATTCAGCAGTTTCCGGATCAAATCCTGGGTCGTGAGTCGCCCGGGCCAACCAAGCCTTCCATCCCTCCGGGGTCGGTTAATTGGTACCAGACTTGTCTGGGAGGATAAAAACACTGACTTGTACATCGGCTGGCCCCCGCAAGTCATTGTATAGGCCACATCGCATTCAAACGCCACTACGAATGTACAAATGGAAGTAGAATGCGTGCCGCATCCCAAAAAGGGATTGATCAACGGCAAATGCTTTATCCTTTATCTTTTATCCTTTAACTCCCCCGTACTCCCCAAGCTTCCTTTGTGCCCGCTAAATCTGCCCAAGTCATGGCTGGACCTACTTGTAATGAATAAAAAAAACTACCGACCTTATTGAGATGATTCATCAGACTTCATGGAAGTGTATTTTTGTTAATTAATTCGTTTACAATTATTAGCTTTATAATCGTCGAAATTGAACCATGGAATTTAATACGTTTTGCAACTGAAGTGTCAAACTTCTTCTGATTTCAGATGCACAAAAACGACATAATAACAATGACGATTATGTGGGACTGTAGTTGCTGTCAACGACGAGACAGGAAAGAAAGACTAGAAAAACAACCCCCACCCCATAGGAGAGGGGTGACAACAACCGGTTCCTGGCGCAGCATGCAGTCTTTC